AGGTATTGTGTTCTCCGCACTTGACGTCAAATTTATTCTTTTGAATTCCTTTTGTATTGTAAAAATTTCAAAAGAATAAATTTGACGTCAAGTGCGGAGAACACAATACCTTGGGACTTATTAAAAGTGTGTTCTATTTCCTCTCATTCATTCATTATTCTCATTTTCTTTCTCTCATTTTGTTTTCTTTAAGCTTAACACAGATGCGGATGAGCGTGGGTCCTATGTTCAAGTTCTGGAGACGTTCACCAATCTTGGTCCTATCGTAGACATGGCGGTAGTGGACCTGGAGAGGCAAGGACAGGGGCAGGTGATTGGCAGTAGATTAGAATAAAAATAAGATAAGATGGGAGCAGGGGTATCACAATCTTTTTGAATAAGCTGCTGAGTGATTGAAGTAGGAGACCGTGTCCCAAGCAAAGTTACACAGTTATATTCATTAAAGGGACACTGTCAATGGCACGCATGCGCTAGTAAACTTGAAAACATTAGGCTAGTGTTTTCAAGTTTATGACTCMAAGTTGGCGCGACATAAATCAGCTCGTAAACGTAAACAGATCTAGAATATTCTAAAGTGTGTCAATAGCACCACAAAATGGTTTACCTCGAAGGTAATACTTTCAAAGTCCRTTAGAGGTGAGACTGTTACTGCGCATGTCATCCATTGACAGTGTCCCTTTAAGACAAAATAACTGTCCAAAAAAGGAAAATTAGGCAGTTCTTACCGCTGGTAGCCGGCCTATTACTGAAACCTCTGTGGGAGATGGAATTGGATTTTAAATGGAATTGGGTGGGGAATTGGTTGGGAAATTGGGATTTCATTCTCTGATCCCCACTGGTTACAATAGTCCTTAGCGTTACAGCAGAAACCATTGCATTTCGACTTCAGTGTTCAAAAGAATGGTTAGGATTTAGGTTTTTCTGTGACTTTGGAGCGGAGCTTGGTGCAAATCAGCCAGTGACTGAACGAGTTTACAAAAAGCTCCATCCTTTAGATTGAAAAGATTAAAATCAAAACAAACTTCGAAACGAAGAAGTCACAATGCAGTGATTTTTGCTGTAACGATTTTTTACTGCTAACATAATAACATGTTATAATGTGTTATCATAATAATATAGGGCAATGTTGTACTTTACAGCTTGTGACGTGTTCTGGCGTGAGCAAGGAGGGATCTCTTCGCATTATCCGTAATGGAATCGGCATCCATGAACATGCCACCATTGACCTGCCAGGCATTATGGGTATATGGGCTCTCAAGATGAAACCAACAGAACAAGATTATGATGATACTCTTGTCCTGTCATTTGTTGGTGGTAGCAGGTAAACAGTAATTATTAGTGATTTATCAATGGTTATTAATCATTCAATTTAAATTTCATTAAACAAAGAAATGAACAATTTCAAAATATTACACTCAAACCT